TGTGTATCAGAAGGAGCTTTGCAAGTCAGTAGTGAAAGAAAAACATGGTTAGCAGTCTGCACAATCTTGTTTGTTCATTTCAGGTAAATGGAAAGTGACCTTGACATTGAATTGTAAGCAAGAAGGGAAATATTCAACGTCAGGCATTCATTACTTGAATAAGTCATTTTAATGGCTTTCTTTTCTTTTATCATGTGGTAGCTGCTGATAATAAGTGATGCCTCAATAACTACGTTGTTTATCAAGTTCATTCACTTTTGATAACATTTTTGATCTCTACAAAAGTATTCCTAATTTTTTTCTTTCTTACTTACTATCTCCACCTACTTAGTTTCATTTTTTTTTTTCTGTTATATATTCATTATTCTGAATGGTTTTTTTTTCTGTTGCAAGATTGAACTACACAGCTATGATATTGATATTGTTTTCTGGATACTCATAAGGAGTTAGAACAGGGACCATTGAATACGATTTTACATCAGAAGGCATATCTTATGCAACTTCTTTCTTTTATATTTACAATACTAATCAGTATTCCTTTTCATCTGCTTCACTCTAAGTCATCATGTAGTGCATGCACACAACTGTATCTATCTGAAAAACAGTCTGAAGCTGAAGTATGAAGTAGCGGTAGAAAACTGGTGCATGTGAGATGTTTGGGGTCTATACAGCTAAATTGAGCAACTGTATGGTTTTGTCTCAGAGTTGTCACGTTGGGGTAGGAATGGAAAGAACCTAAAAGTGGATTATTTAGGCTTTTAGGGAAGGAAGATATCCAAGATGTGACGTTCAGATGGAAGAGAAATAAGCAATATTAGATAAACATCTAGACTTTGAAGTCATGCAGCTATTTAAATTTGACAGAGTATTCTCATGTTTCTAGAGATATTGTCATTTATTTGTATTCTTTTAGTATTTTAAAGAAAAGATGAAAAATGAAGTACATAAAACTAATTAAGTGAAAAATGGCCTGATATTTTAAGATAAGAATAATGCTCTGTGTTGTGAAGACCAGTGTCAGTTTGTAAAATTAGGATCTTCTACCATTTTCCAATTTGGACATAAATCTTTTCTATTATTCTGTTACTAAGCTACCAATTAATCTAACTTAATTAACATTTGAACCAAAGTACAAAATTTTAGAAGCGTCACATACATCAATGTTTTGACACATCATTGAAATTATATAGTCCTTTGATGCTGAAATCAGAATTTTGTCTTTGAAGGAATAATCCATGTTTTTATTTTCATTTGCACTTTCTCTATTTTTTCCTTTGGTTGCAAACAAAGGTATGTTTTCATTGTTGATCTGCTGCCAAATAAGGTAAAGTTGAAGATATTAATTTTTAAGCAGAAAGTGAAGTCAGAGTTTTAGAAAGCTGTCCCAGTTAAAGTTGTTTGTTCTTCAATTTTTTGTCCATTGCACACTTTATTCCTTGCCAGCTTACAAAACTCTTTGCTTTCTTCAGGCTTGCGTTCAGACTAGGCAGGATTTGGAGAAAATGTCTCATATGCTCACCGTTTTTTACTGTTGTACAGATGGTGCCTTGGGACCACCGCTTTTGGTCTTGTAGCTTATGAAAGGATGTCAGTTCTTCTCTAGTAAAACTAAACAGTTTTTCTTAAATAGAAGGGAAAGAAATGAGATATTATAGAGGATGAAACAAAGTAGACACCAGGTGGATAATCCTGGGGAAAAAAAAAAAAGAATAAAAGAGGGAGAAGAAAGTGAAAACTGTAGAAAAGAGATTTGGAGTGGGACATGTTTACTCCTCCCTGGAGGCAACCTGGAGCTAAGAACTAGATGGAGGACAGTTGGGCTGCTGTATGTTCCAATGGCATCAGAATCCGATCTCAGGGATAGGACTTCTAGAGCTGTGTCATGTCAGCCAGGACTTGGAGAAGCCCATCAAGGAAGTTCCGTAATTGATTGAAGAGGATTGGAATCTCCTCTTTAATTAAAGATGGCAGGAGAAAAGGTAGAAAGAAAGATTCTAACTTAAGAAGCAGAGAAAAATCTGAAGATCCTCTGCATGTCCGGCTGTGACACAAAAGGGCATGAATCAGGAGACCCAATCAACGTACCTTTCTCTGTTAATCCACAGAGTGTTTCTCAAATTATGCTTCAGGAAATAAGCTGTCTACCCAGAGACAGCCTGCAGCAGTACCTTGGCTCAGTGGGAGGATTTGTAATTCCCTTAAGCTCATGAGGTTCTAATTTGATTAGCCAGCTTAACTGCTTGATGCCAGAATTAAAAAAAAAAAAAAAAAAAAAAAAAAAAAAAAGCAGACTTGTAGAATCTGTTTTGCACACAATAACATGAAACATGTTACTTGGATCTTACACAGTATTCCCTTGCTAATATCCAGCCAAAAAAAATTGTTTCTTACATACTTGTCCATAGCCATGAACTTGTGAATTTGAGGGAAGTTTTGTGTCTACTGTTGCTCTTTTAATTTCTGTGGTAGAAGAAAAAGGCATTAAGTCATTAAGTTTCTCTGTATAATGAACAGATTCAAACTGACATAGATTTTGTTTTTATTTATTTACATGCACTATAATTAATAAAAATAAAGGAAATATAATCATATATTTGTGCTACAATTTTAGCCCTGGAACTGGTTCGTAAGAAGACTGCATTTACTTGTGTTGCCACCTCACTTCAGGTGGAATCTGTTTTGCCTTTTTTTTTTTTTTTTTTTTTTTGTGTGTGTGTGTGTGTGTGTGTGTGTGTGTATGTAATTACTTTTGAAAGCATGAGGTTGAAGTAACGTATACAAACAAAACCTCTTTCCTCTTCTTTGTTTCTGGATTAAACATATAACCGAGTCATAGAATCACAGAATGGTTTGATGGGAAGGGACATCAGAGCCTATTCAGTCCCAACCTCTGCCGTGGGCAGGGCTGCCCCCCACCAGCTCAGGCTGCCCAGGGCCCCATCCAACCTGGCCTTGAGCGCCTCCAGGGATGGGGCACCACAGCTTCTCTGGGCAGCTGTGCCAGCACATCACAGCCCTTAGAGTTAAGAATTTCCGTCTAGTATCTACCCCAAACCTCTCCTCTATTAATTTTACCTCTCCCTTCCTTACATCTGTTGTTGCTGTTTCTCCTTTCTCATTTATCAGATTTTAATACTACATCTTAGTATATAATCATTTACATATTTTTTTCCCGTAAAATGCTACAAATTCATTTTCGTCTGTCTTCTAGTTGACCCAATATATTTGATTAACACTGATTAAAGGCAGATTAATTTCAGATTTCAGATTTTCAGACATCACCTTCGATTTTTTTTTTCTGCCAGTGGTTACCTATTTGTTTTTAATAGGTTTTCTGTGGAATTTGTTTAAATTAATATTAAAGCTACTAAACATTAAAGATTATCATTCTAACCTTGTAAGAAAGATGAAACTAATCTTCTGTGAAATTAGGCCAAGATCTGCATAAATACTGAGTGAACACATAAGGGAAATGAATGCATTTTTAATTGTGTTCTCTCATATCTTGGGCCATACTGGAAAAGGAGAGTTCTTGTTATATTTAACAAGATTGGGAGGATAGAAAAAGCAATTTGACTCATGGGTCAGTTTTTATTAAAAAGGTTGTTATGGGGTGGATATAACGAACAACAGAGAGAATTTAACGAACTGCAAATCAAGTTAATGAATTAGAGTCATCTTGTAAGTGGCCTAGTAAACCATATGTGAAATATATGTAGAAGAGTTCTTGTAGCATCAACAGATTAGTATTTTCAAACTGAATTTGTAAAGAAATATATATGCTATGAGAAAATTTTCTTCCCACTCCTGCTGTTTTTTTTTTTTTTTTTTTTTTTTAACTTTCATTGCTTTAATGTCTCTGGCTTCTGATTATTATCTACTGTAAAATACCATCAATAGGAATTAGTGTACACCAGTGATACTGTTGTAGCTGGGCAACATGATAGCTATACTTCTGTTAATACTGTTGAGCTTCAGCTTCAGAGGGAATTTATATTTTACTGTGTGCATCAGAAACTTCACATTCTGCTACTTTTATAAGGTCTGTTTTAGTAAAAACCTGTGCTTTGGAATGAACATCAGGAAACTCCATTTCCTTGACATGAACAACTAACCATGCTTCTTGGCTGTTTTTAATAGTTAGTTGCCATATTTTCTTATCCCTTCCCAGGACCTTTATTTGCTGTTTCTAATTATTTTCCAAGTCCAGATGGTTTCTCCTCTGGTATATGTTTGCAATGCTGCCCATATTGTATAGTGACACCTCACCTCTCAGCTATAGAAAACAAGCTGGGAAGGACAGCATGGAGTGTTGGCTTCAACCTGTTTTATTTATTTTCAACCTGTTCCTGTATTTACTCCAAATGCTTCAGTGCTGTTAGATTTGAATGGTGTCATTCACTGATTAATAATTTTTAATTACTGGCAAAGGATGTACTTGGTTAAAATCTGACTACTTTGAATGCGAATCAGAGAATCAAGTTCAGTATTGATGACACATTTCTTCGTTATTTTTCTTCACTGTATGCATCTGCTCATGCAAATTTGGACAGAACTGACAACTCTAAACACCTTGTCGGAAAACATGCTTATAAATTCCAGATCAAAGAGGCCAAGGAAGGTTGGATGTCATTCAAATGGTCACTTTCATGTTTTTATATTTGCTGTTACTCTCTCAGATTAAAAATTGAACATAAAAGCAGTTTCATATACAGAGAAAACTAACTTTTTATGTATGACAAATGCAGTAGTAGAATAACAAAAATGAGAAGTCTGATGATTTACTTATTTGTAGGAAAGAGATATTGTAACTTACCTGTAAGATACTTACCATGATAATTTCACTACTGTTTATACTCTTCATTTCCTTCTACAGGTGTATACAATTAACTCATATGTATATGTTATGTATATAATATATGTGTGTGTAATTTTAAATTGCTTTATATTGTTTGTTTTTTTTTCCTCACTACAAAACCAGTTTCTGATATTTTTTTCAGGTGTCCAGAGATCTCCCAGAGAAGCAAAAAGAAATAGAAATTCTGCTGAAGGATTTCATCGACCTTGATCAGCAAATAAATCAACTGACATTGTGGATAACACCTGTCAAAAATCAGCTAGAGCTTTATAACCAAGTGGGTCAGCCAGGAGCTTTTGATATTAAGGTAAATTTTCTGTTTTAAAAAGGAATCTAGATGTTTAATGGTCAAAATGTCAGTTGGAGCATTAGCTGCGTGGCTTTTATTAATAATACAGCTTTGATATGTTAATCCACAACAGTTCCCTAAGATTCTGCTGTATAAAAATTCTTATTTTTTTCCATTAGACAGTTTCTTGTGATAGAGCTGTTTAGGGTGGCAAGGTGAAATACAAAAATAGTAAATAATTTTTGCTAAACCATATCTTGAAAGAATAGTCCAAAAAGCTAGTACATCAAATTCAGAATATCAGTGATGGGCCGTTTGAGCAGTTTTCATCAAGTCAATAAGACTAGTTGAAAATCAGAGTATTTAGGGCTGCATAAGTATTCTAATGGTGCAAGAAATACATACAACTGCTAATCATCTAAGATACCTAGAAAGCAACAAAACTGATTGTTCAGTAATTGTGAATTCAGTATTTAGGATCTACTCCTCAATGTATATTTAGTTATTAAAAAATACCTATAAATAGGCAAAGATTAAAAACCAGCACTGTTTTGTGTTGGTTCTCATGTTCCAATGTTCTGCAAAAAGAAAAGGAAAAAAAAAAAAAAAAAAGTAAATATTTTAAACTCTTCTTACTTTGCATGAAATGGAATAATTGCTTCTGAAGTCATGGTTTTTTGCAGACAATATTTATTAAATTCACTTTGTCCTCGTTGCTTTTGTGCAGCTGTTTTAATGCTGAAACTTTTCTGTCATACAATCACATTATGGAAAATAGTGAATCTCAAGTTCTGTTGTAGTCCTATAATTGACAGAATGAGTTCAGTGATGACATTCATTCCCTTTTAAAAAGATAAATTAGGATAGCTCTGCAAATGTCTTTATATAAATGGAACAAGGGATGGAAATTACTTCAAAGAAAATTATCTATGCTCACTTCCTGTATTTTAAGAAAAATTTTTAATCAGAATTCTTCCATTTCTTTCTTTCAATCTTTTTCATTCTTTTTCTTATAGACTGATTCCACCATTAAATTTGCTCCAAATTATAATAACATTGTTTTTTCTATTGCTTGTGAAAGAGATGTTTTGTTTGTTTCTTTTAGCTCCTTTATGGTGATGATAGAGGAATATTTTTGAAAAGCTTTTAACAGAATAGGGAAAAAGAAAGTGTATAGTCCTGATGTGGTGCGATGAAATCTTGTACGATCAAAGAGGAAAGGGAGTACTGAAGATCATAAAAGGCAGGCAAGTAAGGCATGAGCCAGCAGAGATGTTTAACCTATCTTTTTTTTGTCATCACTGCATTTGGAACTTAATAGACAGAGTATGTGGGAGAAAATTTCTTCATAATGTTTCTGGATGCATAATACCTATTGTTTCCTACAATTGTATCCAGAATCTAGTTGGAGTAGATAGTGGAACAGGCTCCTTTTTTCTTTACTGTGATACAGTTAGGAAATAGGAGATGAGATACTTCAAGCATAGAGAGATGGGACGTGTCCAGCATATGCCTTGGTCATCACAGGTATTAATCTTAGGGCACCTTCTCTTTTCCTCTCTTTGGTTGGACTACTTTGTGTCAAGTGAGTCTTTAGGCAACATCTTAGCTTCTAAACTAAATGCGTATTTCAATTTAAAAGGCATAAAAAAATTTAAGAAAATTGTGAGCACCATAAGTTTGTTGAAACAACACTTCTTTAAAACTCATTCACTCTCAAGAAGCATACTGTAATTTATAACAGCTTTTATTATAAAATACATTTTTTTATTTTTATTAAAATTGAATCTATTTTTTTCTTTTATCCCTTTCTGCTCTCACAATTCTATGCATCATTTAAAGAGTGACAGTGTGTCTCATGCTACCCTAATATATTTTATGCCAATGTAATTTTTGTTCATAATTCTTTTGACTGTAATTTAGAAACCACAGTGCCTTCAGACCCCAGTCTCCAGGCCTTCAGTTAGGCATCATAATTTTTAGTGGTGGTTTCCAAAATCCTAAATAGAATTTAATAACTCGCTCATTTCTTGTTAAATAATGGTAGGGTTACTCCTGTAACTCTATTAGTTGATTTAGCGAGTAACCATTAACTCACTATATAGGACTAATCCAGAATCTTATTTCCAAGATTTAAAAAACATCTCTAGCAGTATATGCTGTATCCACATTGTTAATCCATTATTACAGTTTTCTTTTATAAATGAAGATATATATTTTTAAATGTAACAAAGCAGTCTAAAGAAATCAGCATCGGAATTCATATTTGCAAGCTACCGTTTTAATAATACTGAAGTAGATCTTATTTATTTGTAAGTATTATGTAATTTTTCTAACACGTTAGCATAATGTCTCATTCCAACACTGGCATAATAATAGATACTGCTCCTATGAAATACTTATGTATACGCATGGGGAAGTACAAAATCTGCATCTATTATAATTTCTGAGCATACTGCTAGTTTCGAACACTGGAACACTTCAATAATTGCAGTAAGCCTTCAATGTAGCTTCTCATGCATCTTGAATATATTTAATGCTGTGTATTTTACAACTGTGTTTTTCTAGCTTACCATATGTAGGAGAACAGTCAGGTCAGGGCTTGAACTGGTGATTGAGCACCTGGTGAGGAGGTATGGCTGGCCTAAGGAGCACAAGCAAATGGTCTGCATTGGTGCTCCCCACATGACCAGAAGGGGTGATCCAGGTGGAGCCACCCTGTGCTCACTTGAGGGCCAGCCTCTAAAAGGAGTGTATCTCTTCAACCCAGGCTGTTTCTGGGAAGGAGAGCTACCTAGCCAGAGAGCCCTTCCACCAGTTGGGTGAGTTCAAGTGTTCTTTCTCTATGTGACTATCTGGTTCACCTGTGAATACTTTGCCTGGTATTGCCGAGAGCCTGTCAGAAGCAATTTTGCTTCTTTGTGAGTACAGCTCCAAGAACTTATGTTTTCTGTGTATTTTCTCTTTGGTACAATGTTACTCTTACAGCAATTCTGTGTGATTTTGTACTCCCAACTTAACAAAGTTAGTCAGATGTAGTAATCATCTGTTTTCAATTTTACAAAAAGGTATGATTGAAGAAAATATGATGAAAGTTGTCCATCTTACAAAATCGTAAGATGATAATACTTAACAGCTTTGTGTACAGTACCGCATTGGGTATAGCTAAGTCAGTAGACCACTTCAGAATAAATATGTTCAGGTCTTATTGTACAGTTACTTTTGTACATACCAATATATTTTTATCAGTACTTCTGCCAGTAATGGCAAGTGAAGCCTGTAATTACTTCTGAAAACATGAAGTTGAAGTAACATGTATAAACAAAACCTCATCTTTCCTCTTCTCTGCTTCTGGATTAAACATATAACAGAGTCATAGAGTCACAGAATGGTTTGATGGGAAGGGACATCAAAGCCTATTCAGTCCCAACCCCTGCCATGGGCAGGGCTGCCCCCCACCAGCTCAGCTGCCCAGGGCCCCATCCAACCTGGCCTTGAGCACCTCCAGGGATGGGGCACCACAGCTTCTCTGGGCAGCTGTGCCAGCGCCTCACCATTCTCTGAGTAAGGAATTTCTTCCCAGTGCCTAACCTAAGTTTCTCCTCTTCCAGCTTAAAGCTATTTCCCCTTGTCCTATTACTATTACATTATGTGAAAAGTCAGTCTTCTGCTTGTGAGTTCCCTTCAAGTACTGAAAGGCCGCACTGAGGTATCCCTGGAGCCTTCTCTTCTCCAGGCTAAACAAGCCTAACTCCCTCCTGTCTTCATAGGAGAGGTGCTCTAGCTCTCTAATCATCCTTGTGGCCCTCCTCTTGGCCTGCTCTAACAGCTATCCTGTGCTGGTGCCCTCAGGCCTGAATGCAGTACTCCCCATGGGACCTTGCTCTGCTGGCCACCCCTCTTTTATTGTGGCTCAGGACAGACTTGGCCTTCCCAGCTTTAAATACACTCTTCTGGCTCATGTCCAGCATCTCATCTATCAGATCCCTCAAGTCCTTCTCCACAGGACTGCTCATCTATCAGACATGATCGAAATTAGTATAGCTAGCTCAATTTGAGGTTGGAAGATACTGCCTGTATCATCCCATCTGACATGCTGCATAAACTGGTCAGTTTGGTTTTCTCAGTTATTTTCTGCCTGAACTGTTGCATGCCTTTATCAAAAATGACCAAACTGAAACGAGGCTGCTTTTTAACCTTCAAGTATGGACACTCATTTTGTGGTGAACTGCTTCAGTAGGTGAATTTAAAAGCCTGCATGTTTAACCTAGACTGAGTTTGTTTAGATTCATCTTTCTAGCAAACTAAAGAGAGCTTCAATACTGCATTCACAGACAATACTCAAGTTTTATCTTAAACTCTGCTTACCATCAGTACTGTTGTCGTAATTCAGAGAAGAAGACAAATACGGAGTGTATAACGAAATCTTATCAAAAAGTAATTATTTTTTGTTCATAGCAATTATTTTGTGGTCCTGATAATAATGTGATTATCTTTAATCACAAAGTTATTTTAGCTAAGTCTAATCAGTTTAAGTAAGTGGCAAGTGTTGCTATAATGGAAAATGTAGAAAATTTCAGCATTGTCTCCTGAGTAGAATATATAAAGCTATGCACTAACACTTTGAAACTTATTCTGATCCAGTCATCCAGATTTGATAAACTTTTTTAGGGATATATTATTCTGAGCATAGGATCAAGACCTGTACAATACGCACTTAGAAACAGTTTTCCTAGAGCATCAATAGCCTGTGCAGCTTCAGAACTATGGCTAAAGGAATTTGTGCAAATTCTGGTCTCTGCTTTTTCCTACTGAGTGATCTGCTGTTTGTTTGTTTTTACTTTACCTGAAAGATAAGTTGTAAGGGGACCTCAAAGGACAATTATAACTAGTGGTTATGCTAGTGATTTGGCTCCTATACCTTCAGAAAGTCTAAAGAACTTTTTTCTTGGTTGCTGCTTTTTTTTTTCCCCTCTAAATATTTACTTCATCGTAGTTGATTTTAATCACAACTCTAA